GAAATCGTAATAGAGGGTCGAGAAGGTAATCGAATTCAATTCAAGTTAGCTCATTAAAAACAAGCATTTGCTTCAGGCATCTCGATTAGATCCACCTCGAGGATTTCACTCTTTAAGTTCATGGCAGATTCTTATGGTCAGTAACTTGGAGTGAGTAATACCTGATGCAGCACCAGCTGCGTCACTTGCCCACTTTCCAGATGATCTTGGGCTTCATTAACTTCCACTTCCTCTTCTGTGTACATTGCTCTCAGAAAGTCCAATTCGTCGTGCAACAATTGCCGACATGAAATCGACGGGTCATTCATCAAAAGAAACAACCTAAATTTCAAGTTCCTAGCAATTTCGAACTTCATCCTCACAACAAACACGATTTTCATCAACCAGCTGGATCCTGACGATTACAGAAATGGACTGGTGATACTGTCGGATGCATAAACACCCCAAGTGTAACTCTGCCAGGTCCCCCGATCCTGAACTTTGAATTTCTGGCTCGTTCTCGTTGCAACTGTTTCAACCCCACGCAACAGCAGTATATCCATTATCAGAAATAGAACAAAAGGGGCCATAGAAGGCCGAACCAAAAATTAATGCGCGAAAGTGACGTTCAAAATTAGAAACAAAACTCTCCCACAAACTGCCCCACTGTTAAATTTTTTGGAAAATTGACTGGAAAACTCGTCGTGTTTCAAGGAAAAACTTTTTAGGGAATAATTTTTTAACTGCCAGCGAAAGGCCGAACAAGTGTAGTGGAAGAAGAAATTGGTTTAAATTTATAACGTGGGGAAGTAAGTCGAACCGTAAATGAAGAAGCGCAGGCGAATGAGAGTCTAAGAATATAGATGGCTCGAAACCTTGAATTAGAAAAATAGAAGCCGTGATTTTTGTGATGAAAGGAGGAGAGGGATAGTAGAGTTGGAAATATAGGTAAGACACAGTGTCATCTAAAAAAAATCATGTACGGGAAATATGTGGAAAAGCAAGCACTTCGTGCCAGATACAAATCCAATTGCAGGATTTCCGGAAATAGTGAAGTGACAGATGTAACAAATCCCTTTTAATGGAAATTTTAATAAACACTGGAATGGAAACAATGCCTACGAATGATCAAAGGGCACGACAATTCACTTTTCACGCTTAATTAACATACAATCAGAATAAACCACAGACAAACAAAAAGGCACCTAATCAGGGCACCAAATAACACGTGAGGGAAGCGTGGTCATCTTTTCCTTTTCTGCTGAACCAATACCAAAGTTATCCGCTAGGGAATATGCGAAAATCTAAGCAGAAGTTAATCGTCGAGGGATAAAAAATACTGCAAAAGTAAAAAGTGAAAAAACCCCTCTCCCTCTCTGCGCTCTTTATGAAACTGGCAATTATCCGAATGGAGGGAAATGCCAAAAGCAATCAACTACGGGCAAAGCTATCGATGGTTTCCTCTTTCGAAGGTTGTTTACAAGCAAGTTGATGGTAGGTTTGATTCCCTGGCACAAGCCCGTGCAAATTTTTCACTGAAACTAACGAACAATTGGGTAAATAAATCTTCCATGGGCAGCGTTTTCATTAAATTATCAGAATTCAACTATGTATTTCATCACAC